TCGGTCCTCTCCATTCAGCACCACGGGTCCCGGAAGAAACCCAGCAGCTGCCCCACCGCACCCTAGCTTCGTTACCTGCGCCTCCAGCGGCCCTGCGTCCTCTGCGTTCTCATCCTTACGTGGGCCCTAGACGGCCAGGACTGAGCGACGCAGCCTCGCCCCACTCCAGTGGCGACAGTTCTGACAACCCGCAACTGGCCCGCGGAACACCGCGGCCCTCCGGCCCACACCCCTCCGGCCCGCCCCTTAGACCGTTGGTTGGTGCTTTCCAGACGCGACCGAAGGCGCCTGGCTGCCGTGACCGGCTGCCTATTGGTTCGCAGTACTGTCGCTCAGGTGCAGTTCCTACTTCCGCTTCTCTCTTCCCTTTCCTGTTAGGCGAGAGCTGCGCTGCGCGAGGGTGTCGGACGCCGTTTCTCGGTAAGCTAAGAACGGAACTGTAGCGGTTCCAATAGGAGCCTCCGTTGCTCAGAATCCGGGGTAGGACTAGGCCTTCTTAGGAAAGGGAAGGCGAGACCCACGGCCCTCGTCGGCCTTAGTTCGAGAGCAGGCTTCTCCCTTCAGGCATGGCGGCTATAGGATCGCGAGGCGCGCCGGCTTGATAAAGACACGTCAGCCCTCTAGGCTGCTGACGGGTGACCGTGCTTCGCAGGGGAAAAGTGATACCACGCTGATGTGGTTCTCGGAGAAGGAACGGGGCGGGTCGTAACCGTAGCTACGACGTCGCGCACTGCCCCAGCCATTCTCTAGAGTTGGAAAATGGAGGAGGTGGGTGGGGGAAAGAGAGTCAAAGAAACTCTTCTTTTTCTGCGGAAGAAAATTAGATGAACCGCACATTTCTTTTGGGGCAGCCACAATAAATTAAACCCATTTCGTACAGAAAACTGACTGTATTGGGCCTCCTAAAGCTGCTGCTCTTGATTTTCGTGAATCTTGTTCTATATGAGAATAGAAAAATGGCTCGTAGCATTGTGAGTTCTTTGAGGTGTGCAAAATTTGCTGGGCCCAGAGAGACAGGAGTATGAGACTTAGGACACCTCCCCACTTCATGCCTGGCATTTTATTCCTGACTAGCTGCTTCACCCATTATGTCCGTGCTCCTGGAATTTGTCATAAAAAGAACGATGTATAGCCAGCCAATCGCTTGTGTTATTTTAATGTAAATTCTTGGTAAACAACTTAGGAACTGCCATTTTTTCCTCTAAAAACCCGCTTGCAACTGCTGCTCTTCACGGCAATTTGAATCTGTGCTCCGGGTTGCAGTCCTCAAACTTGGCCCAAATAAACACTCTACTTATGAATTTTGCCCCAGTTGTGTTTTTTTTTGTTTTTGTTTTTGAGGCGGAATTCCGCTCTTGTTGCCCAGCCTGGAGTGCAATGGTGCGATCTTGGCTCACCGCAACCTCCGCGCCCCGCGTTCAAGCGATTCTCTTGCCTCAACCTCCCGAGTAGCTGGGATTACAGGCATGTACCACCACGCCCGTCTAATTTTGTATTTTTAGTAGAGACGGGGTTTCTCCTTGTTGGTCAGGCTGGTCTCGAACTCCTGACCTCAGAAGATCCACTCACCTCGGCCTCCCAAAGTGCTGGGATTACAGGCATGAGCCACCGCGCCCGGCCTTGCCTCAGTTCTTTAGGTTGACAAAAAATTAGTCCTCCAGTAATTTAAACGAAGTGTTTAAAAAAGGTATGCACTTGTATGTGCGTTTATTCATATGGAAAATGAGTACGTGGTGGGTTTATATATTTATACGGTTTTCGTGTGTCTACTTGTGTAGCACTTTCATTTTTCGGAATGTTTAATGTCTGCTATCTTAAATATTTTACTACAGTTTTCATCATATAGACAACAGCCCTGCTGCAAAGATGGTCAACGTGCCTAAAACCCGAAGAACCTTCTGTAAGAAGTGTGGCAAGCATCAGCCTCACAAAGTGACACAGTATAAGAAGGGCAAGGATTCTTTGTATGCCCAGGGAAAGAGGCGCTATGATCGGAAGCAGAGTGGCTATGGTGGGCAGACAAAGCCAATTTTCCGGAAGAAGGCTAAGACCACAAAGAAGATTGTGCTAAGGCTGGAATGTGTTGAGCCTAACTGCAGATCCAAGAGGATGCTGGCCATTAAGAG